AAAAAAAAAAAAAAAAAAAAAAAAAAAAAAAAAAAAAAAAAAAAAGAGAGAGAGAAAGAAATCAGCATTGAGATGGTAGAGCTAGGCAACATTTGCATTAAAAATCAGTTGTACTCAAATGTATTTAGACCTAAGCTTTCCTATCAAAAATTGTGTTCACTCATTTTCAGTTGTTGCTGAACTGAACAGTATACAGCTATGAATTATTTACAGAATACCAGTCATCAGCTTTAGAAACCATGCTGGTGTAGTGTCAATAATTTGACTGCAGTTAAAAACAAAAAAACAGAACCCAAAATACACAAAACAGATATCTAAAGCAGAAAAGATGAGGGTGAAACAGTGTTTTAAATAAACTGTTTTAAATAAATGCTACCTATGTGTTTCCCTGAATCTATGTTGTATACAATTTGGTTCAATTTTTGTTATAACTAGTTTTCCCTGGTAACTTCAAATATAATTGGAGTAAACAAGATTATTTTGTATGCTGTTTTCAGAATCAGTGGTATGTAATTTATCTAGCTACCTACAGGAGTGTTAATATTAGTACTGGTGACTCTTGAACATCTTTACACATACAGTTTTCTTCAGGGAAATAGTGAGAACAGAAGTAGCTGAAATAACCGTTCTGTGAACAGGTGTAGTCCTCTCCCCACTTCAACACAGAACATGCATGCTGGGTTAGTGGCCCTATCCAACCCCCTTCTTGGGGCTTTCCACTATTCTCAACTCAAGAACAGCAAATGAAAAGAGTTAGCCTGAGTCACTTCATCATCTGGCTTTTTTTAGGGTCTTTTTTGTGCAAGAGTATCTCTTGTGTCATCCTCAGGCATCTAACTATTCATTTATGTAATCTGGTCATCATCACTAGTATCTGAGCACCTCACACACATTCAAGAATTTATCCACATAACTCCTCTGTGAGGTAGGGAATCTTCATTCTTCCCCATTCCACCCCTGGAATTGTGACTATCTGGTCTGGCTGTAACTGTGAATCAGAAGAATAGCCTTATATTGCTATGTGGGATAGTATGATCTGCTACCTTTGCTGTTTAACTATTTAAACGTTTTTAAAAAGTAAATATAAAGTTGTATCACCCCAAATTGTTTTCTAGCTTGATAGAAAATCTACATTATGTATTTAGTTGTTGCATAATGTTTTTCTGTGTATCTATGGAATTTTATTCCAGTAGAATATGGATTTATGTTGATGTTCAATACATCCAAGACCAATGAGATACACATTGGTAATACAGTGGCTGTGTAGATTCACAGCAGCCTTCATGTGCTCATTGACAAGTTACACACATCTTTGTGAGTTAGAACTTGTTTTATGGGGTGGGTAGAATGTTGTCTAGGGCACAGTTATACTGGTATGAGGTGTTTTTTTTTGTTTTTTTGTTTTTTTTTTTTTTTAGAAAGTGCTTTGGAAGTTTTTGCTTTCTTCTGAGATGTCTTTTAAAGACTGTTAAAAAATACAGCCACTCCAAGAGCGCGTTACCCATCTGTATTTGCAGTATGGTGTCAGAATTAGTTGTGTATAATCCTAAACGATGAGACTTTTCTGGCAATATTTGATTGTGTCCCCAATCTAATTTCATTGTTCCAAACTCTGAGATAGGATTTTGTTGTCTTTAATAGCAATGCAGAGTTGCTTTTAACCAGTTAGTTGAATTCTTGCTAGTGGTTTACTATGATTTTTTATGATTTTTTTTTTTTTTCTTCACAGACCTACGTAGCCAACATTCTTATTGCAGTGAACCCATACTTTGATATTCCTAAACTTTATTCTTTGGAGACTATTAAAAAGTACCAGGGTAAATCACTTGGGACATTAGCACCACATGTCTATGCAATAGGTATGTCCACCATTTATGCCTTTCTTCTGTAAAATATGCTTTGATCTCCACTTCATCTTGCAATCACATGTTAAATAACATATATAATAGCATCTATTTTTAAACCATGTTTAAATAAGATAAATCAGTACTAAAATGACTAATCGTTTCACCTTTGATATACTGCTTCGGTGTTTAATAATAATATATTATTGATCTCCCAACAAAAATGCTTAGACTGTAGATTATGTATAGTTTAATAAACAATGCAATCAAAGCATCATAAAAATGAGACTACAATATTTTAAAAAATGAGAAATGCCATCATTAAAACTGAACGATGGCCTCTGTTGTGATGTTATCCACGTTCTGAAAATTTCAGTCCTTGCCAGTAAGTAGTAAGTTGATTCCCTTTCTACTTCAGCATGTTGTCAATGTGGATTGTTCCTTCTTTTACATTTTGCCTCTTATGCATTAAAATGCCTTTAAATGATTGATTTAAACAAAGAAAACAGTTAATATGAATATTAAGTTCTTTATATGTTTAGTCTGAAGGTAATATAGTGTATAGAAGATTGTTCAAAAAGACAACAAATATGAGTCATAATTGAATCAATTTGATGTGCTGCTAACTTTCTCTCACAGAGTATGAAAACTATACACTTTTTTGTTTTGATCAAACAACATTTAAACAATTTTCATTAAAGTTCCTTTTCAGGATCTCTTACACAGCAACAAAATGTGGGACATTTGAAACAATATGAAAATGACTCAGTGTGTCTGGATATAATTTGTCACAATGTCAAGTGAAGCTGAAAATTTCTTAATAAAACACCTTCATAGCTATAAAATCAACCCTCCGTTATTTTGTAAATAAACTCCAGAGTTCAGTTCTATTAGCCCTGCATTTGTTCCCCTGTGTAACAATAGCCGTGTGGGTCTATGCCTCTGTGACTCTGCTGCCTGGATGGGCCAGACTAAGAATGCCATGCTCAGGGCAGACTGCAGGAAATAGGGCAAATACTCCTCAAAACTGGTGGTTTATTCTATAATTCGATTCACCAAGGCAGTAACAAAAGAGCTTCTGTAATACCATATTAGTTAACAAGGAGCCTGTAGGCATTCCAGCTCTTGGTTCCCATCAATACAACCATGTCTAATATAATGAAAAGTTATTGAAAACTTTCTTCACCATATGTAAGGTTCACCAGTTCCAAAGGAACAGACAGTTATCTCCAGGTCAATATGAATCTCAGATCTTACCCAAATATCACACTGTCAGCCAATCCTTAATAACTAAATCTAACATTTATGGATAAAAGAAAGAAGAGTTATAAATGGTTAAAATATCAATATACATACAAGTGACTTCCAGTGTTCATAGTTGAAAATCACAGCAGTGATGGAATAAACTGCTGGCTTGTAAAAGTCTCTGTGGAATCATCCCAACAGGTCAGAATCCAAAGGCAGCTTAAATGTAAAGTCTGTTAAAGTCTTTCCAAGCATTTTCCAAGGTATTCCAAATACTTATTTGGAAGATCTCCATCTTATGACTTATACTTTCCCTGTTCAAAGTTTAGAGATGGCAGGATCAGGCCCGAGGTTTCTCTTTTATAGCTCTTCTAGCAGGTTGACAAGCCTCCTCACAGAAATTGTCACAGCAGGGCCTTCCCACAAGGAAGAATAGTAGTGCAGATCGCCTGTGGACCACTGCTTTGAAGTTAATCTTCTATTTCCTATGCATACACAGGTAAACTAGTTACACTCATTCGCATAAGGCAATTAGCCGATTCTACGGCTAATCTGATATCATAGATAGTTATGATCATATCATACTATATCATAGGTAGTTAAGCTGAAGACAATGTAGATAATATGATTAGTTTCCTGCAGTATCTTACATCTGGACACAGTCACATACATAATTAAGGCAATTAACACATGTATCATCTACAAGCTAATTTGGTTACATTGTTAAACATCTAACAGGATATAGATAAACACAGACAAATACACTTAGTATCTACCCTTGATTTCTATTACTAAAAATGAATGAGTTGATTGCTAGTCTAGTACATCTCTTTGAAATTCACATACAAGTGAATTGTCTGCATACAAATGCCTCTTGTTAAGTTGTTATGGGTCATACATAGGTTGTCTGGTCTGCTGCCACAGCCTCTTTGAAGATACAAGGCTTCGTTCTTTAAGGGTGGGCCACTGTAATGTAAGGTACGGAGGTAGCAGAAATGGACTTTCATAGGATGTAATGCAGAAATTTAAATTTGTAGTGTTTTGATTTTTGTTCTCAAAGGGATTAAATTGGGTTTCATGTACAGCATAACTTAATTCTGATTATCAGTTGATAGTAGAAGGGTAACATAACAACTTTGTGTCCTTTAATGTAATTTTTGTTGTAGCTGATAAAGCATTCCGTGACATGAAAGTACTCAAGATGAGTCAGTCCATCATAGTTTCTGGAGAATCAGGAGCTGGCAAGACAGAAAATACAAAATTTGTTCTGAGGTTTGTACGTGTGTAACCAGAAAATTATTCAATGGGAATCTCTTGTATTGATATATTAGTATATCATGTTCAGAGATAAATTCTAAAGTCATTTGTAATGTTATTAATATATATTTAAAGCATGATCCAGCAAGACAGCTGAATGGTCCCAACCCTCTGTTGATTTCAGAAATTCACCGTTAAGGTTAAACTTAAAAGAAATGCAAACAGGATAAATAAGACTGATTTTTGGAATGGTGGTCACTGTGTTCACAGTAATCATGAGTTTTAGTAAAGTCAGTAATGAGCTCACCCTGCAGCGATGGCTCCTGTCCTGGGGGACACGGCCTGGCCAGCTCTTCATACTGGGCATTGCAACCTGGTACATGTGCTTGCAGTGCCACCTGGGTTTGGTTTATCCAAACTCCCTAGATAGAGATGGGAGAGCGGATGGGCCAAACCTCAGTGGTGCTGTGACCAGATTACAGTAGGAACCATTGCTTTCCAACCTTCCTCCCGTGTTCTGGGCCTCACCTTTCAACATCCCCACTATATAATCCACTATTTTATTCCCCTTCCTCCCCCCCCCCAACCCCTCACAATGGTACATATTTTTGGTGTCGATCTTCCTTTAAAAAAAAAAATTATAGCCAAATAGCCTACCAACAACTGCAGTTATGGATTAAATGATATTTTGGGGTGAAACATTAATTTTACTAGGTAAAAGTGAAAACTACATTTGGTGTCCCTTCTGTGGGACTTTTTTCCCTGCACGTCTGCCATGAACTTTACTCAAAATTTTCATGCCAAAACTGTAGCTTTAGTGATAAAATATGGAAATGACAGAGCTCCCAAACAACCTTTACTCTACACCATAGTGACATAATGCAATAACCATATGATTATGTTTTGGGAGTTTTGGTATTTGTTGTCCCAGATTAGATAAAGATGAGTTTTACAGATACTAGATTTTTGTTTTTTTTAATTACTGTTTTCCTTAATGGTGTCATGCTAGGGCAGAATTATGGTTTGTACCCTAACTGTGCATTTCTATACCTTACCATGCTTGTATTTCTTTTAAGTTTAACCTTAACTGTGAATTTCCTGGGTTTCTAACTCTTAGTCTAGAGTAAAAGTAATTATCTTAAAAATACTGATATGTATGCTCAACTTCAACCACAGCATAACATAGGGTTTTATTGGGAATTTCTTCTTTGTTCTTATGTGAACACTAAACAAGAAATACTGAGAACACTAATGTGATATTGATTTGAAGATGCATAGTATCAACCTTAAATCATTTTTTATTTTATCTTAACATTTATGACTATATTGACTGCTATGCCCTGGCTGCTTGATGCCCCGCTGGAACAGCACAACTAGAGAATACTGCTCAGTAAAGCCTACTTTATCAGCTCATTTGCTTTGCTAGAGTACTGTAATTCAGAGTGTACATATTACTTTCCATCTTCCTCCTGTCCTCCAAATTACCTTGTAGGCACCCCTAATTTCCCCCTCCCTTCTGCATCCCACATTTCATTGCATGCAGATGCCCTAGTTTTCCTTCCCTTCTGAACTCCAGAAAAGATGGCCATTGCCCAAAATCACTTGCTCCTCAGTGGTGTTCTCTGCCTTTTGACAGCTTAGGAGGCCACCGTCTAGCCTGAGGACCATTTGGCTTCATTCTTATAGGAAGCAATGGGATATGGATGGCGTTTTGAAAGAGGGCATCTTAACTGAGGACTCCCTGTGGCCTTGCTTCCCCTGAGAACATTAGAAGATGGCAGCTGTATTGAAAGAGTTCTTTGTGGAATTTTCTAAAACTGAATATTCTTTTAGTGAAAGAGCAACCTTGTTATGAAGCATAACAAGAGGACATTACCACTACTCCTTTTAAAATATTCTTCAAATGTAGCCAATGATCACAAAATTTCAGTGGGTTTTAACTATGTGGAATGTTTGAAGGGTCTGCATTATATCTTGTTACACTTATTTGTACCAGTTACTTATCAGTAACGGTGGAGGCAAAATTTCTCAAAGGATCCGTTTTTAAATTTAATTTTAACCTCTAAACTAACTAATGGATTTACTTGTACACTTTCACCAAGTGTAAGCTATGTTTAGTGTAAGCAGTTTTAGAGTGCAGACTATTTTTTTTGTAAAATTAGTCATTTTTAATTCCTTCTTTAAGGGCAAAATTGAACTCTGTCCTAATTACGGAGCTGCAATTTGCTCCTCCAGAATCCAAACAGGATTTTGTTTATAGGCTACTAGACAGTATGTGTGTGAATAATCATTAATTCTTGATGTATGGATAAAAAGTGCTGTATAAAAGCTTAACAAATACCTACAGATGGCACAATAATATACTAGTCAAATTGACAAAAAAACCCACTTCTACAAATATTGATATACATATACAGATATGAAAAGATTGTAAAAATGAAGTCAGAAATACCAAAAACCACATTTAAAGCCAACAAAAATACATATGTTCCTTTTACAAAAGAAGAGTTTTAACTTATTTAAATGCATATGCACAGAGAACTTGTGTGTGTGTGTGTGTGTGTGTGTGTGTGTGTGTGTGTGTGTATGTGTATATATATATGTGTGTGTATATATGTATATGTATATATATAAAAATATAATCTTCCATTTAAAATATATGTTAAGATATGTTCTCCTCTGTGTAAATGGCCAACATATAATACAGACATTTAACAATTTCCTCAGTTAGACTGAGGCAGCGTTGCTTGGGAGTAAAAGAGAGATGGACATTGTTTTTTATTCTTCTTTACAGGTATTTGACTGAATCCTATGGTACCGGTCAAGATATTGATGAAAGAATAGTAGAAGGTATTGTATTTTATTAAAGTGAACAAACTTTACTTATTTTGATATGTGTAGGGGCAGACCGACCATCATTGACAACAGTGTTTTTTAGTGGAATGGGGTGTGTTGTTTTGTTCAAAATTGGGAGGAAACACAGAAGCAATTTTCAAGAATAAGGTTTCTCCAATCAATCTTTCTGCCATGTTAATTCATATATGTCATAAAGCAACTCATCCTGAATGTCATCTTTATTGGATTTAAATTTGTCATATTAATACATTATAAGGCCAGAAGGGAACCATTGTGATTATCTAGTCTGTATAATAAGGCCACAGGACTTCCCTGAACTAGAATATGTCTTTTAAAAATATATCCAATCTTGATTTAAAAATTCCTAGTGAAGGAGAATCTACCACAATCCTTATTAAGTTGTTCCAATGGTTAATAATCCTCACTGTTAAAAATTTGCACTTTATTTCTAGTCTAAATTTGTCTAGCCTCAACTTCTAGCCATTAGATCTTGTTCAGAGAAATAGAGCAGGCTTTCATTTTTTGTTTTTATCGATATGGTATAATAAGCATGATGTTGCTTAATTACAGCTGGGTATATAAACATCCAAATCCACGTTATGTGCCGTGGGATCTCAGAAAGTGACTGACAGTTGGACATAATGCCTGAAGCTGCATTCCATAATGTTGATTGGTACCTGTAGGTATTCTTGGAAAAAGCTGTGAAATAATTGTGCTATCTACAATAGCATCTACTGCACGTTTTGAAGCAATTTTTAATCAATTGTAAACACCTTTTTAACAAGCATGCTCACAACTGCTGTATTGTTAGGAGAACCTGTAACTGATCTGAAAGACCTCTTGTCACCTTTTTATTCAATAATCCACATTTCTGTAAATATTAAGCTATTTTTAACAGTTCTTCAATAAGTATTTATTATTAACGTAGCAACTTTGAAGCCCAGATTTTCATATCTCATAAACTTGAAAGACTTTTTTTTTTGTTTATAACAACTGTTAAGAAAGCCATATTAAGAAGTTTAACCATCAGGTTGTAATTTTGAATAACAAAAGACAAAATTCCAAGGAAGGGCTGACACTTTATCATCCTTAATTTATCTCACTATCGTGAGTTTCCTATGGATAACCTTTTAATGTTAGTAGCATCAGATTTGTAGATAATTTCAAGAGGCTTTAAATCTGGGGAACAGTTCCTACTGAATTTCTTTAGTTTTAAGTTTTAATGGAGTTCAATTTTAAGGGGAAGGCATGTGTCACAGTGCAGGGCAACTGCACCTGTATTTCCTCTCAGTGGTCCAGCCAGGACACCCAGGCTTCCAGCTCCCCAGCCATTGCCTTTTTGAGTGGAGAACCATATGTCACCCCTTCCGACTCGGGAATTTCCAGGCTCCACTGTTCCCTGCCTTCACTGTGTTATTCCCAGCAGATACTAGCTGCCTGAGCACACCTGCTTGATTTCTCTTCAGAGACTGATAAGAGTGATTGTCAACAATTATAAGTTACCACACAGTTCTTTCTATGCAAGCCTATTTTATTCTTAAGATAAAAGCGTTACAGAGAAAACATTAAAAACAATAAAAGAACCTGCAGGCATGCTAATAAGCTTACCAGGTTTCATCGCAACCCTAACATAGATTCTGGCAGGCGTAGTTCAAATTCCCACCCAAGGGGTTCCTTATAGTTATAAATTCATCACAGTTTCAGCTTAGAACAAGCACATAATCTTCTGAGGCTTCAGTAGGACCGGTCCTTCCAAACGTACCCTAAGGATTGGGCCCTCCATGGATCAAGAGGAAGGCTCTGAGCCAGTTTAAAACCAGGCTACTTATCCAAAAATCCTTCCTTTGTTGGTCCCTGGAGAATCCAGTTTGAACTTGTATATGCACGCCTCTCCGAGGGGGTGGCTTCCGCTGATAATGGAGGAAGTATGTTAGCATCCCCCTCCTGCTAGAGAAGGTACATACAAAGCCACAATAATCCATACACAGTTGCATTTTAAAACAATGTACCCCAAAGGTATCAACCCTAATTCAATAAACCTTAATTCAGTAAACTTTATCTCAACTCCATAAGGGTTGCTCAGGATATTACAGGATATTGTCAGTCTGTCACTGTAGGTTGTCAGCAGTTCCTTAAAAATAGTTTTCTATGGTTTGATAGACAAAATGTGGAAACAGTTTTGCCAAGCCTGCTACTGCTGCTTTTGCTAGCTAGCAAAATTGTTTTTCAGAAGCACTGTGCTGCACAGCTTAAACAGTGCATGTTCAATATGTATGCACTGAATTATTGCGATGCATTCTGGATGGAGCTATTCTTGAAGACTGGGAGCTGCAGCTACTGCAGAATGTGGCTACCTGCTTGGTGGACTTTAGTGATAGGAGGCACCTTCCAAGTCTTCTCCAAAGTCAGCACCGTCTTCCATTGTGTATCTGTGGGCATTCAAGGTGTTAGTTTTGAACTGTAAAGCCTTATGTGATTTGGGGTCCTTGCTACTGAAGAGCTTACCTCTTTCAGTATGCACCATTCTAACAACAGTTTTAAGTCCTTAAAACTAAATGTTGTTGGGATAGATGCTGGGTTTTCTTAGAGCACAGCTCTTGGTTCCCCCCTTATTAATGTTACTGTGCATAGTGTTCACCTCATATATACTTATTCATGCTTTTGCCTGAGTAATAGGTGGGAAAATTAGTTGTATTTTGGGGCAATCCACTTGGAGCTCAAATTGTCCATCGTATTTTGTTTGTTATTATTTACCCACTTTTCTTTAGGAAAATACTAGCTGAATCATTTTCATTGATAGCCGCCAAATATTTTATAGTTCAGATTCAGGAACTGCACCTGGTGTAGAATATTTAAAGTTTGTATTACAAATTGCTTCCGCAATAGATTCAGTACAATTTGAAAAAAAATGCTGTTTTTCATGTTAATTTTATTTCTAAGGGGAAGACTTACTCAACTTTCAAATGTCAGTAGTTACTTTACAGTTATGATAACTAATTATTCAAAGTGATGTGAAGTCTTTTTTTTTCCTTTTTTTGTTTTTTTTGTGCTAGTCATCTTTGAATCAAATTTTGAAATCTTTTATTTTTAAACAGCCAATCCACTCTTAGAAGCCTTTGGAAATGCAAAGACTGTTCGCAACAACAATAGCAGCCGTTTTGGAAAATTTGTAGAAATCCACTTCAACGAAAAGGTTTGAGTACTTTGTTTGTAGTTAGGTATTCAGTGGTGAGTTTTGTTTGGTGGCATAGGTTTTTGGTGGGTGGCACCCTCCCATCATGTGAATATGTAATCTCTGTTCATCCTGAGTCACTGTTGATTCATATACAGCAGTGTTTCTCGATGACTGGTCCGTGGATTGGCACTGGTCCCTGAGATCTCCCTGACACAGTTTTGGAAGGCAGCAAGCCGGTCCCTGATATCAAAGAGGTTGAGAAACTCTGATATAGAGGATTGAAGATCTTCTCTCTCACCCCATTCTTTGTAGGAGCGCTATATTTTTTCCCTATTAAAATGTTAATCTCTTCACATTTTCAAGTGGCTGCAAATACAGAATTTAACCATTGCCTGGGAACAGATACTCCAGACCAGAAGTAGGCTGAGTGGAAGCAACAGTTACCTTGCTTACCAGACTCAAGGGAAAGTTGTATTCTGCAGTCCTTGAAAAAGAGAATTGAAGCCACCCCTTACCATGTCATTACTGGCAAACTGTGGGGCCAAACTGATGGAATATTATTTTATTTTACAAAAATGATACTCCCCTCCATTTAAAAATGTACTGTTAACAGATTTTAACCAGGTTTTGGCACACAATTCTCCTGATATGTGTACAAAAGTAAATATTGCACATTATGCATAGGGTGTGCATGTATTACTTGCATACATTTGGGGATTTGCACACCTAAATGAGGAATAAACATTTTTATGCGTCTGTATGAAAATTTGGACCCTCATGTCTATAGCTGGTATTTTGGGGCTGAATGAAATCATACTGTTGGACTGAGTTTTTTTTGTGCCAAAAATGTCTATAACTATACAGCTTAACAAAAGTTATATTTTAATTTGTGTTTTAAAAATAGTTTTAAATATATAATAGTATCTAAGGAAATGTTTTCATCTTTTGCCTGGTAGTGGCCATCCTTGGGTATCTACAGAGAACATGCCATGTTGGAACACTCTTGATCAGACCAAGCAGATATATTTTTAAATGTTTGTATTGTTTTGGATGATTAAAAATGTAATTGTTTTTCTTTCTCCTAGAATTTGGTGGTTGGTGGATTTGTATCACATTATCTTCTGGAGAAATCCAGGATCTGTGTGCAAGGCAAAGAGGAGAGGAATTACCACATCTTTTACAGGCTTTGTGCAGGTGCTCCTGAAGATATTAGGCAAAAACTGTATTTAAGTTCTCCAGATAACTTTAGGGTGAGTTTGCTGCTGCTGTTTTTTTTTTTTTTTAATCTTTTTATCTAGTTATTAACATACCTGAAATTTTCAAACAAATGTCAACAAATCTTATTCATAACCTCTATTTGTTACCTTTAAAAGACCAATTTGTGGTGTTAATCTCTTATTATTGTGTATTTATTTATTCATTTATCATAACCATTCATTATAAAATCTACTTGATCCTAATATAAGGCTGTCTACATTTTTCTGTTTAAAGGGTTTCCCATAGTTTATTTCTCCATGCCACTAATCTTGGGGAATTTTTGTGCTTTTACAAAAATGAGCTATTACACACCTGGATCGTAGTAGTGATTTTATCAGTGATCCTTCCTTTGGACTTTAACCTAATGGAATCCGCTATGGGTTCTGTGGGTAACCTAACTTCGGTTGCCCTGACAATTTATACTTATTTTCCTCCAAAATACTGTTATCTTAAGGAATTGCATTATATATGCAGGCAGGTCCAGGAAATAGCATCCTTTCCCTTCCCCTGAACCACCTCCTCTTTGGTTTTGTCTCCTGTGTATTCTCACCCCCTCTAGTTCCCACCAGCTCCACCCACTCATCTTCCCTTCTCCACCCTGATCTCCTTTCACCAAAATAAATCTAGGTCCCACATCCGTGGCATCCTCCTAAGTTCTGTTGACATTTACCCCAACTCTGCCCTTCCCTTTACCCCCACAATCTCCACCTCCCATATCCATTCCTGCCACCATCTTTGTCCCTCTCATGCCACCTAACCTCCTGCCAATAATCCCCTTCTTTCTCCCATCCCTCTTCCCCTTCTCTTTCTGTCTCTGGATTTCCCACTCCATTTCTAAAAAGATTTCAGCTATCCATGACCTCTTTGTATCTCACACCTTCCAGTTCCTGGCTCTCTGAGATCAGGATCCATTCATATGACAGTCCTTTAGTGCTGCCGCATCTGCCAGAGACTTCTTTGATACTTCTGCTCTGGATCAGACTGCGGTGGGCTTCTCTCCCATTCCTGCTGCTTCCAACCCTCCACTCTCCACACTTTCTCCTTGTTTGAACCACACTGCATCTGACTCTCCTTCCACTCCATGGCGCTGTCATCTACTGTCAGCATTCCTCTCTGATTTCGACTCCTGGCTCTCTTTTTTCCTCTCCTTATCTCCCACACTCATCGTCTGTGACCTTAGTTTCTATGTTGTTGACCCATCCAACTCTTCAACTTAACACTTCTTCACCCTCACCCCTTCAATTGATCCACAGCCCTGGTTGAACTCTCCCACTCAGCCAAAGGGCTGTTCACTTGACTTAGTCTTCACCAAGCACTGTTCTCTTTCTATCTCTCTGTTGCTGAGTTCCCCTCTCTGACCATCCCTCATGATCCCCCCCCCCCCCAATAACCTGTCAGTTGGCCTTTCCATGATCTCCAGTAAATCAGTGTTGATGACTTCTCTTCTGCTCTCAGCCCTGTCCTCTCTTCTCTTTCTTCCCTTACTATGGTGGTTGATTCTTTGTACGCTTCACTCCCTTCCATCCTGGACTCTTTAGGCCATCTCTCCCTCATTGTAAGGTTTTCCCTGCTCTCCCCCCACATCGGCTTCCTCTGTTCCTCCTTGCATCCAACAGTGTCTCTCTGGCAGGAATCCTGTAATCAGGTTGATTTCCTCCTTCAATTCTGTCATCTTCCTAGCTAAACATCTCTACTACAACAACTTGAATCCCACTCCTGCAGTCCCAGCTGCCTTTTCATCGTCTTTGACTCATTGCTCAAACCCTCCCTTCCTGTTGCCTCCACTCTCCTCTCTGCACAGGATCCTGCCAATATCTTCCCTGAGTCCAATTGACAAAATATAACACACAAAATCCCATCCCCTTGGCTTGCCTTCATTTCCCCTCTTACAATGCTTTTATTAGTCTCCTTGTGACAGTCAGAGGCTTCTCATCTGCCCTCCTCCTAACCCCTCCACTTGACCCAGTGACCCCATCCCATCCCCTGATCTCTCTCTGACCCACTCTCATCCACTCCCTTACTCTTCTCCTTAACCTCTCACTCTCTTCCAGCTGTTCCCCTCAGAATAGAAACATGCTCTAGTCTCCCCCATCTTAAAAAAATTCCCCCAAAGCCACCATCTTGACCCTACTTACCTCTCGGACTACTGCCTCATTGCCCTTATTGAATGTGCTGTCTGCAATTGTCAAAAAGGAGTTCATTTCCTTTGATCCCATTCTAGACCATCTCCAATCTGGTTCCCTCCCCTTGTACTCAATTGAAACTGCTCTCACCAAAGGATCAAGTTCAGAACCAGTATTCCATCCTTATCCTTGATCTGTCAGCTGCCTTAGACACCATTGACCGTCTTCTTTTTGAAACCTTGTGCTCCCTTGGTTTCTGTGACTTTATCCTCTCCTGATTCTCCTCGTACTCTTGAAATGCTCCTTCAGCATGTCCTTTGGAGGATCCTCCTCATCCCCTCTCCAGCTTTCAATGGGGGTTCCACAGGTCTCTGTCCTTGGTCCCCTTCTCTTCTCCTGCTATATCTTACCTCTGGATAATCTCATCTGCAAACATAAATTCAGATATCACCTCTGTGTTGAGGTCTCACAGATCTACCTTTCTACCCCAGGCCTCTCTCCTTCTATCCAAACTAAAATCTTGGCCTGTTGTCTGACCTCTCCTCATGAATGTGTAGCCCTCAATTTAAGCTAAACATAACTAAAATATATTTGTTCCCCACGACTTCCTTTCTCACTTGTTATGGAAAACACCCTCATCCTACTTGTTTGTCAGGCTCATAACTTGGGCATCCTCTTCAGCTTGGACCTTTCTCTCTCCTCGCATCCAGGCTAAGTCTAAATCTTGCCAATTCTTTCTGCATAACATCTCTGAGATATGGCCTTTCTCATGCACCCACACAGCTAAAACGCTCCTCCAGTCTTTCATTGTCTTGTCTCCTGGGACATCTTTTATTTTGACAAATGCAATCTGCTGAGATCCCTTCAGAATGCTGCTGCAAAGATCATTGTCCTAGCCCATTAGTTTGACCATGTCCCCCTTCTCTTCTTGACTCCCCCTTCTCTATCGCATCAAACATAAGCTGCTTTTTTTCCATTTTCAAGGCCTTTCATAGATTATCCCTACCTACCTACCTATGGCCTCCTATACACTTATCCAGATGTCTATTCTCATCTCCAGTCAGCCCATGATGCTAGCATCCCATACTCATTTGTTTCATTTTCAAATTTCATGCTTTGCTATGCTGCCCTTCATGCTTGGGAGGAAGTCCCCCTAAACGTCTGCAAAGCTGCCTTATTATTCTCCTTCAGAGTCTCCTTAGAACTCTGCCATGATGCCTCATCCTGACCAATATTGTCTCATTGTTTCCTTGTATTCCCCTGTTGTCCTGCCTGTATTTATCTGTTTTCTCGTCTTAGGGTACATCTACACTACAGGGGGGAGTCGATTTAAGATACGCAAATTCAGCTACGTGAATAGCGTAGCTGAATTCGACGTATCACAGCCGACTTACCCCGTTGTGAGGACGGCGGCAAAATCGACTTCTGCGGCTTTTTGTTGGCGGCGCTTACTACCACCTCCGCTGGTGGAGTTAGAGCGCCGATTCGGGGATCGATTGTCGCGTCCCAACGGGACGCGATAAATCGATCCCCGAGAGGTCGATTTCTACCCGCCGATTCAGGCGGGTAGTATAGACCAGACCTTATACTTAGATTGTAAGATCTCTGGTGCAGGAACTGTCTTTTTGTTCTGTGTTTGTACAGCACCGTGACTAGGGCTTCTAAGTGCTATGGTAATACAGATAATAATACAGACCCTGTTCCCCCATATCTAAGTTGACTCCTTTCTATATAATTCTCTTAGCTTAAATGCAGTGAGGTACTGTTCATTTTATAATAATTTTCCATAGTGATTACACAGGTAGATGATGTTTTGGATCTCTTCCAGACATTTTCCCATTGATCCAAAATAATATGTTCTTAGCTACTTCTCCATTTTTTTCCCATCACTATCTGCTGGATCTATCGGTAACAACATATGCCATGCGGAGATTGGGGCCTGTTGAGTTGGACTTTCCAGTAGTGGGTGTAGTTTTTCCCCCCCAAAAATGTTGGTTTATTCCAATCCAACACATCATTTTTTTTGGAATAATGGGAGGAAAATAAATTCATGTCGCTGATGGAGGTTAGGAGAAATATTTTCTTTTAAGTACTTCGTTTAGTCTATACAAATTCATATGTATCTTGTAGCTGTTTAACTGTAGATTACTCAAGCCCTATATTTGATGCTTCAGATTTAGTATTATTTTTGGTAGCCTGATTTATCATTGAACTCATGAATTTCTTTCAGAAGCAATAGATTATGCTGGATTGGTAAGCATTAATAGCACATCAACTACATACAGTGCAGTTTTATATTCTGTTTTATTAACTGTAACTCCTTGTTATGCTGCTGTTCTTACAGGTTCGTTGAAGAGGGTTAGCAACAAAGGGAATAGAGGACAACCTTGTCTGATTCTTCTTTGTAGATGAAATTCTTTAGAGTTGAACACCTTAATTTTTATCCTGGCAGAGGAAGTGGTGTCCCATAATATATTTATCCAGGTCTTCATATTGCCTCAAAACCCCATCTCTAATATTAGTGTTTTTAAGAACTTTACTTTATCAAATACTTCCTTGGGCTCCAGGGATAGCAGTAGATCTGTAATGCTTTTTATTCTGCATTTTACAAATTCTTCCTCTGAGTCTTCTAATGTTGTTGCTCAATTTATCTATTGTGTATGAAGCCCATACAGTGTGTGTTAACTGTGGAAAGACAGCTTCAGTTCTTTAGGAGGAGATTTTTTTTCTCTCCAGAAATACTTGTGACTAAAGTTTTTTTGTTTGTTTTTTGTTTTCGGGTGTTTTTTATTTAACAAATCCATTTGTTTTCACATCATGTGGAAACAATTTTCCACAGTTACCTTCTTTATTGTGTTCCTACCTACCTGTTCATGTTTGCTGCAGGAGCTGAATCTCAAACCTGTGCAAAGTTATAAAAGTGGAGGCCAGATTTATGCTCTGCTTAAAATTGAGCTTTCTGAGTCAAGTGCTGGTAACAACTGGTACCACTGCCTATGCAGAAGTGCTGTTACTTTACTGTTTTATGATGATGCATTTATTTAAGGAGCCTAGAATTACACTGGCTATTTTTTTGCAATTGTACCAGGTTATAAACTGATTTGATTTGCTGTTCGCTACTAAAGTTAGGTTGTTTAAACATTATTTCCTCCCAGGTGTTTCAGTTTCATTGAATATGTTTTAAGATTATTTTCACCAGTCTGCATAATTGCAGAATAGTTTACGTTTTATTTAGATGTTTATTCGAGTGCTTTCAAATAATGACTTACATGGTGAGAAAGATTCACTTTGTGCAAACAGCAAATGTAACATTTTAATTCTTCCTCCCTTTTTTGTTGAGATTAAGGTACATCATCTTTTCTTCAGTTATCACAGAAATTTAAGATTATTTTAGAAAAGCTGAAGTAAAAAACTCTTTCCATAAAATTCATTTTTATATTCAGGTTATTTTTATATAAGTAGTCTCACAGATTTCAGGATTACAAACTGAGGTCCCAAACTAGTGTCAGTCCTCTTAGGACTCAAATCTATTATGCAATCCCTTATTTATTTATAACTGAGGATGATAGTGGACAACAAATACCGTGACGGTTGAAGAAAATGACACACTGGTGTTTAATCTTGCTAAACTCTGAAAACCCTAATCGTCATCTTTTATTATATGCTTTGAAAATACCTTTTTACCCTAAACCTAATACGTATATTGACTGGAGTTTTTTGTTTTATAATAAAACCCACTATGTTTGGATTAAGCTTCTTCTTTATAGGAAACTATTAAATTCCACAGTCGTTCATTTTGTCAACCTGTAAGGTTTCCACTGGAAACCTCAAGTCCTGTTCATGTAAACATATAACTTTTTTTTTTTTTCTCAATTACAAAACTATTTCTGAGGTCAACTCTTTAAGTGTTTCACTGCATAGAGAAACATTTCTATTTTTAAAACATATTGTACAGGTGGGCTCTGTGCGCTGTCTCCACCTGTAGGCGCCACCCCCGCAGTTCCCATTGGCTGCGGTTCCCGGCCAATGGGAGCTGCGGAGCCAGCGCTCGAGGCAGAGGCAGCATGCGAAACCCCCTGGCCGCACCTCCGCCTAGGAGCTTGAGAGACATGTCAGGGGAGCCACGCCAAGCCAGGTAGGGAGCCTGCCAGCCCTGCCAAACCTCTTCATCCCCAGCAGCAACGGGAGTCCTGGGCCATTCTCCACTGCCCACCCACCTCCCCAGCAGGTGTGGCATCTCCAGGCTGCCCTCCTTCCCAGAGCACCCAAGATTTAGTCGGGGTATATAGTACAAGTCATGGACAGGTCACGGGCCATGAATTTTTGTTTACTGCCCGTGACCTATCCATGAAACAGCATGCAGTGTAGCTGTAGCCATTTCGGTCCCAGGATATTAGAGAGACAAGATGGGTGAGGGAATATCTTTTATTGGACCAACTTCTGTTGGTGAGAGACAATCTTTTGTGTGTGGCTTGAAAGCTTGTCTCTCACCAGTGTAAAACTTGGCAGCTTTGTTAACATTGAGGATAATACTAACCAATCTCCATAACAATGCTCTGAGGATTAATTATGGTAAAGCTTGTGCATCGCTTTGAAAATGTAAAATGCTAGTAAGTACTGTTTTTATTATTTGATGCCCCTCTGCAGCTTCCTACTACAAATGGGAAGGCAAATGCAGTTCCCAAAAACCAAGCTTGACTGCAGTTATGTATGGGTGTAGGAATACACATTTTGTCCAGTTATAAACCATTTTTCCCTTATCTGGAGCTTCATTTCCCTTATCTTTCGAAAGCAGTTCATTATGAGGGTACCAGTTGCATGTTCATATGTTTTGCTTTTTAAAATGGGGCATAAACTCATGGTTTTCCTTCAACAGCAGGTGTCCTTTTGGTGTGAAATTTCACACAGTGGTCTGATGTACGTCATCATTATTAGCTTTTGTTTTGCTGAGGTATAACTTAATTTCTTTGGAGTGGAGATAAATTTTAAGAGATTTCAGATATGTATTATAAAATTTTGAAGAGATGTGTGTGTTACCCAAACTGAAATTACTTGAGAATAGACTAGACTTGACTTGATGTGCTTTACAAGAGTACTTAATATCACAGAATGTACTTTGGTGCTGAAAAATTGAAATGCTGAAACAGACAGCTGGCTTTCTACGAAGTAGCGCCTTTTCTTTTGTTACTTGAGAGGTTTTATAGAGGTTGATTTAATTCAGTACTAAATGCTGAGGTATGTATTTGAATTATATGTCTCTTTCAAGTCACAAAGATGTTCCTTTAATAGCTGTGTGTCTGATTTAATAGTTCATTTATTAGTTCTGACTGTGTCTTCCCAATTTGCTTAAAAGAAGTACTTTTGTTAGAATTAAATTACTTTCAAATTTGTTCCCATCTTCCAATTCTGTGATATGATTGTTATAAATAAAATATTGCTTTCAAGGAAGTAATCCTGAATGCCCGATAGCATGCAATTGGTGTCATACGTTGAAGTTAGAAGATGTAATGCACCTCTGGGTTAATACGATATACTGTAATTGTCTGAAGCACTAGATCATTAGCTAATTATCTCCTTGCTGTTTTATTCTATTTATATATGACATGCATTTTTCTCTTCTGTTGTAGTATTTAAATCGTGGCTGCACTAGATACTTTGCTACCAAAGAGACAGATAAGCAAATTTTGCAAAATCGCAAAAGTCCTGAGGTATGGTATATTTTCCACATTTTCAGTTACTTCAAGTTATTGTCTTTTGCTGATGATGTTAAAAATGTCAATCACACTTGTTTAGAATAAAATGAAATGTTCATTTTACACATCTTATTTGACAGGTTTAAATGGGAACTGGCTGCCATGTTTAAAGTTCGAGTTTTGGAGTGTTACTAATATTTTATTATCAGGTTCAGTACTGAAAGGACTTTTTAAAAACAAAAATGTAAATTTATAGCCTAAAATGTAACCCGTAAAATATTTTAAAAATCTCTTTTTAATTTTCATCATACTTTAATACCTATATTGGTCTTAATGGCTCAGCAGATCTTCAACAGGAGACAAAACAAATACCTTGTACAGAATGTTACCTTAATTCTTGTTTCTCTTAGCAGTGATACTTTGCAGAGCATTGTTTATTTACCACTTATGATTTGTTGACAACCTTTTTGCTTTGCTTTTGTTAATAGCTGGTTATGGTATATTTATCCAGAGAATTATTTGGAATTACTGTATAATTAATTATATTCCTATGAGTTAGATGCAGAAACAGATAAGCAGAAAATACAAGTAAAGCTTTTTTTTCTGTTACAAAGTTTAACCAGTTGAGATTGAATTCTCTCTTTCATAGTTTTAAAAAAAAAAAATCTCTCTGTTGGTGCTGTTGTGGTGTTTTGAACAATTCTGTATTTCATAATAGTTACCAAGTTAGGCGTGTGACTGGGGGCACTGAGTGTCAAAAGCCATGATATCACTGGCTGGCTAGACCTTTTGAGTGGTGTCATAGCCACACACCAACTCTTTAAGCACAATTATGACTTCATCCCCAGGGAGAGCATGTTCTCTTCACCACACTTTTTTTTTCTCAACTGTTTTCTCTTATCCTACTAGTAGGAACTATTTTTCCTAGTGGAACAATGCATTTCTGAGTAGAACATGTGAAATTTCACACCTCCCCCACAAAAATAAACTAATTACTTTGTAAACTGTAATTTAAATGACTGGAACTGATGTTCTAATAATAGTAAGCCACTTCGGGTAGTTGAACAAGGCTATTGTGGAACTTCTCAGGTGGCTCAAGGCGCTTGATCTTTGGTTGAATGCCTGATAATGCATCCCACTCGTGTACCAGTAGCCTATTAATGTGCACCCTGGAGTGGTTTATTACTGTTTTGTGGGTGAGAGGGAGCATTAAATTTTGACTTTCCACTACCAAGCTGTAAGGCATTGTCATGAATGTCTTACTTGGCAGATAATTAAGCCAATCAAAGAAAATGTTTGATCTAATAGTTCATTGCGAGTGCTGCTGAGCTATAGAAATACTGTTCTTTGGTGGACACATTTTATACCAAAGTTCAGTTTGAAACCATTGTTAATGTCTGAATTAAAATGTACTAAAAGAAAGAGATGATATTGAAAATGAATGTTGACCACTAAGTAGTGAAACACATGATACCACTAAGTATTAAGCCCTTGTCTTTGAAGAACTACATTTCTTTGGGATTGGATTTCAAACTATTTACCATCCATTCTAGGAGTAATAGGAAAAAGCAAGTTTTTCATAGTCCACTAGAACCTAAAGTCTAGCTATCTAACTGGAAACTATTGTATGGTCCAGTTCTTTTTAGATAGGCAGTGGTCTTCTTTGCTCTGTCACTTATTAAACTTGTTCCTGTTGTATATTTTAATAGAAATAGCTCAATGGTAAATTAATGTTGAAATTATTTTTCTTTTCCTTATCAGGAAGATGAGGTGATCATTTTACATAATTAGAAAAATTTAGTTTAATTTTTGTGTGTGTCTGTCTACTGTTTGACGTGAATCTTTCAGATGCATGCGCTATTTTATTCTGACATGACAATAGTCGTGTTTTCATTATAGGCTATTCTATGGACTCTTATTTCAATTAAATTAGGAATCCTTTTCAATTTAAAGCATCTTAAAATTTAATTGTAAAATTAAAAATTGTGTATATGTTTGATTTAGCCTTTTGGCCGCAAGCAGTTGTTTACTATCGCCACCCTGAAATAATACAGTTATGTGGTATTCTGGCATCAAGACAACCAGTAAAAGATGAATATAATATTTAACGGGTGCATGTCTTTGAACCTTTAAAGCACTGCAGACAAATATACTTTTCTGAACAGGAAATGCAAACAAGTATTCTTTTGTAAACCACCCGATGAAAGGCTCCCATTCCTTTCCATTTTTGAATCATCCTGTAGCCCCTTCTCCTTCCTTCTGTCAATGTCATACACATAATAATGTTGTCACTAGCACCCCAACTTTTCTTTCCCCATCAAAGACTAGAAATGCGCCCCAGTTCATATACTGAACCTTTCACAACTGCTTTTTGCCATCGCCCATGCTATCTGCTGCTGAACCGTTTCTGTTTTCCTGTTTCCCCTCCCCTAGCTGTCAAACTCTCCTACTTCGTTAGGTCTTTTCTGAAGATTGGTTAATGTTCTAAGAGTTAAGGACACTTAAAAGCAAGTTATAGTATTTTTAAGCTTGGATAAATAGTAACCTCTTTAGTCCCTTTATATATTTTATGGTTTTGTTTTTGCATGTTTTGTGCAGCTTGTTCATAAACTAAATTATTAATTACAATTTACTTTCAATCATTTGATTAAATTGTCTGCTTTTCTTGCTCTTTAATAGTACCTAAAAGCAGGTTCCCTGAAGGATCCTCTACTAGATGACCATGGAGACTTCAACAGAATGTGCACAGCAATGAAAAAGATTGGCTTGGATGATGCAGAGAAGCTTGATCTTTTCAGAGTAGTAGCTGGTGTCCTTCACCTTGGAAATATTGATTTTGAGGAAGCTGGGAGTACTTCAGGTTAGATGAAATTTTTAATTATTATAGTCTTCTTCTAAAAAGGTAAGAACGTTTCTTGACTAGATCATAAAATCATAGAAGATTAGGGTTGGAAGAAACCGCAGGAGGTGATCTAGTCCAAACCCCTACTCAAAATAGGACCAGTCCCCAAATAAATCATCCCAGCCAGGGCTTTGTCAAGCCGGGCCTTAAAAACCTCTAAGATTCCACCACCTCCCTAGGTAACGGATTCCAGTGTTTCACCACCCTCCTAGTGAACTAGTGTTTCCTAATATCCAATCTAGACTTCCCCCACTGCAACTTGAGACCATTGCTTTTTGTTCTGTCAAGAAGATGGCTAACTGAGGTAAACTGCACACTACATTCTGAAACAAAATCCTGTTCAATATCTGCTCCATAGCAAAAGTTAATTTAGCTGCCCATTATCAACCTCATCTTCTTTTGAAGTCCCGTTTTCTAACTTTACCAACAAATATACAAACGCACTAACACAGTCCCGCGAAATTGTTCAGGAAACAGGTTTCCTGGAAAGTTTTTTTTGGTAGAAATCAGAGAAGAAGTTTTGCACTGCTGTGTTTTGAAAATTTACCTGTCATTCAATTTTTAAAAACTTTCTAGCTTGATTTTGGCTCTTATCACTAGCATGTCTTGGATTAGAAACTCTTATCACTAGCATGTCTGTTGTTTTGTTTACTTTGGTATGGAGAAATACCTTCCTTTTAGTAATTTCGGGCTGAAGGAAAATCTGTAATATAATCAGTTTTATAATCTTACAATTGGTAGGGAAGAGGGTAGTTGGGGGCTAACTGGAGCAGATATATAAATTGAAGGTACAGGAAGGCTGGGGGAGGGGAAGTACGGAGCAGCTGGGAAACTGATAATCTTACTATGCAACTTACGAGACTTTGTTAGGTCTGTTTAGCATTTTGCTATCCTTCTTGTTTCTTTAAATTTATTTATTTATTGCTGCTCTGTTTTGTGGGCGAGACTTAAGAGAACCCCAATCTTGACACTTTGAATTTGTCCAGGATAAAAATATTCTCTGTGTGGAAATTGTGTATGTCTAAGATGGCAAGATAGTGGCTTTTTAACTTGTTCTTCTCTTCCCCACCTCCTGCTACCTGCATAACCAGGTCCATATTTGTACAAATCTGTTAGAATGAGCATGTAGAGGAATGTTTACAATTATTTTTAGAGGTTTATAAGGTAGGTTTATTTTTAGAGGTTTTAGAGGTTTATAAGTGTAAATTGACTAGCTCTTTGTTCCAGGCATGAATTGGGTGTGGAAAATGTGAAAGAAGAGAAGGCTGGGAAAGATGGGCAGTGGGCTGGGGTAGTAAGGAACTGCTTGGTCCTGCAAATGGGTGATTAGGGGCAGGAGCATGGGATGCATGGTGGAGTGGGGTGAAGAAAGGAGACAGGTCGGGAGGAAGAGGGAGTTGCAGAGGCCAGAAGACATGGAAGTAGGACTGTCAGGGATTGGGAACGGCATGGAATGGATGGAGGGGAACATAGAAGGGCAGAGTCTTTTTTATTTAAACTTACAATTCAAACCATTTTCTAGAATAAAATCTTTAAGAGCTCAAAGTTCTTTAAATGTGAGTAAAAGCCCCACCCATCCTCCCTCCTCCCATGTACACACATAGAGGTGTCAAAAAGACTTGCAGAAAGGTAGCCTAGCTTTGATGGGCCGTATATATTCTGCTGGAGCAGGACTCCACTCTTGAAGTGTGTTTATACCAACCTGATTTAAACTTTTGCTGCTGCTTCAGAAAGCTGGGGAATTTCCAGACAAAATCTTGTGGTTTATAAAAATTATGTTTGAAAGTGGCGTGTCAGTGGAGCTCAGTTTACTCCCAGGCATTACATTTCCGCACAAAACCACTAGTCTTTTAAAGAACTCAAATGTTTTATTGTCTGTCAATGAACAGTTAATGGAGGACTGCCTGAATCCCTTAATTCTTCATCATTTGTGATTACCCTCACAATATTTCCACCTTAGTTTTAGGGTTATGAGGGATAAAAGGTTTGTGCTTCTGGCAAAAGTAATAACATTTTATTTTATTTTTTGAAGATACAGAAACCTTAACTATAGGAAAATGCTGGGTTTTTGTTTTTGTTTTTTTGTTTTTTTTATGTCAAGGCCTTGCTAAACTGTTGTGGGTCTATGAGCAGATTCTAATTCAGACTAGAAATAAAGCATAAATTTTTAACACTGAAGGTAATTAACAGTTGGAACAATTTACCTAAGGATGTGGTGGATTCTCTTGCTTTGGAAATCTTTAAATCAAGACTGGTTGTCTTTATAAGAGAATTGCTATAGTACAGAAGGTTTGGCCTTAAAAATCTATTACTCTAATTACACTTTACAGCATCATGAAACATGGTAATGCTGGAAAGTCCTTCACTGTGCATTTGTCAAAGAAAGCATTTAATGGAAACTAGTGTCGTTTCTGCCAAGTCAACCCTTATTTTTCTTGTGTACCATATATAAGTTTATGGTTAACTAATGTCAGGGTTATCATGTTTAATGCCATGTTTCTGAGATAGTAAAGTCTGATTTTATTATATGGCATGTGGGGAAAAACTGCTTCAGAAATTAAATGCAACAACCATCAAGTGAAATAAGAACTAAGATATGTAATAATTTTGTTAGACTTGTAAATATATGGGTGAAATATTTACAAACATAGGAAACTTTTAAGAAGTCTTTCTAAAATAACTATCAAAATATATACAATAAAGCAGTATAACAATAACTAATTAGGAAGAGTATAAACAACTACAGTACATTATCAAACATTAACCTTTATTTCTCCAACTCTCTTTCTATGTTCTGAGATAATCCTTTCTTTAAGAGCTGGTAGTTTTATATATCTTTAGTTTTTGGAACCAAGAAATACATCCTTTGATGTCGAGAATTCTATGGGTTAGGAAAATCGATCTTCAGGTTGCAGTGTTTCTTTTTCTTTCTGGTCCTGTTCTGCTCCTAGACTGCAGACTGGAGCTGTTTCTCTTATCGTAAAAAGAGGATTTGTGAATACAAAAATGTCATATTAATATAACATTATATGACTGGTTTATATTTCTCAAACTTCTGTCGCACATCTCAATAAATAGCGTGTAATCACTAAATTATCAGTAATATAAAGGTGGATATTGATCGGTCGACAGTGCTGAGTTCATCCTTTTTTTTTTTTTTTTTTTTTAAATAAGTAGTCACTAATTGTCATCTCAGCTGGCTTTTGTTGTAACATCTTTCTTAACTTGTTCACTAGGTGGATGCATTCTGAAGAACAAATCTAGTCAGTCTCTAGAATACTGTGCAGAATTGCTAGGTTTGGATCAGGATGATCTGCGTGTCAGCTTAACCACCAGAGTCATGCTTACAACAGCAGGGGGCACCAAAGGAACAGTTATAAAGTAAGTTCAGAACACCACTGTTCAGCTGTAAATGCAAAAGTAGCCCATTTAAAAATAAATGGTAAAAGTGATTATAGATTTTTTTAAATTAATAACTCTGCATTGTTCAACATACATCTGTTTGTCTGTAAACAGTCTCTAAAACATGGACTTTGATGCAGATTTCTCAGTCTTTCTCATTGCTTTAATAAGAGAGTCAACTTCCTGATACCAAAGTGCTTGAAACAGTAAATAAAATGCCTACCACCATACCAGTTTTTATTCTCTTACCCCCACCTTCAACTGTAGGAATTGGATACTATCTGTGTAAGAAAAGTAGCAATTATGAGCGCGCGCTCTCTCTCTCTCTATTTAATACAATATAAGCAGCATCACTGAAATAAATTGTTTAGAGAGTTCAGCCCTTTGCTTATACGTTTGAGAAAGGTCAAATGATCGAAGGCACATGCTTAACCATCTTTAAGTACAAACTGAATCAATTTTAGCATAACAATGATTACTTAAAAGTTAAGGGAAAACGTAGTGTTGTAATTAAAAGTGTGCAGCACCTTTCAAGATGCAAATAGAGATGGAAGTGAAAAATATTAGCTTGTAAGTAATGGTGGTTGTGCTGGTTGCTTGTGGTGGTTATTATAGTAGTTTGATTTTACTAAATGATCTAAAATGTACCTGTTGCCTTTCTGTGTTCTTATATCTGCTTTCATTTTGAAGGATAATGTGATTGCTCTACAGTATTATGATTAAGTAATGATTTTAAATAAATTAAAATTGACTAAGTTTTTTGAATTGTTTTTAAACTTCTGTATCAATGAAGTTGGCATTAAATCTAAATGTATAACAGTAACTTCTTAAATCCATACTTAAACCTCTCAAAATATCTAATTTTCTGTGTTAACAAATATTCATTTAAGGGGACCCTGGCACTGTTAATTAATATTAGGCCTAAAACTTTAATATATGATTGCTCTAATCTTGTTGGGAATGTCCTCCAGATTTTAAACTGTTTTTATTTTTAAATATACAATTTTTATGATTGTCTGCAGAAAAATGGGTGATTTTTCCAGTTTCTTTGCTTCGAAGTTTGAGCTTCAACTGTTTAAACAGTTAACTACTGCAGCAAATGGTCTTTGCAGAACTGTGTATACAGTTGCGGTTTATATGCATCAACAAAGACTTAAAGAAAACTGCACAGTTAGCTTTTGTTTCATTAGGAATGTTAGAAAAATAGAACAAGAGGACAAACTAAAATGGAAAGAAATGTGCTTTAGCCATTAAAAGGGTTATTGAATTTACTTGTGTAAATAGTAATAACACATTAAAAAACCAGTAGTTCCTTTTAAGTGTTTTTTTATTATATAGATTTTTATTAAATATTTATATCACTTGAGATTTAAAATGCTACTCATTACTATTGATATCTTTTTTGTATTTTGTAGCACTAAATATTGTCATAATTTCAAAAATGGAGTAAGTGTTGTACATCTATACAAAATAGCAAATGGTTTTGTAACATGAGCAATAATTTGGTTTAACCTTGGTGTATCACGTTATGGTCTTGAGTTTAAGTTGAGTACTGCAGCAAGTTAATGTACATTTATATTCTATCATACTTTATGAGGTGAAAAATTGATCTTAAAACACTTTGGAACACTGGCATTTCTCTGGTCATACTCTGAACTTTAAGGATGTAATGGAGTTGCTTACATGAATGTAGGTAAGTCTGCTGTTTGAACTGCTGCAGAGATTTTTTTTAAAGTAGGTAACACTGAGGCCTGCTTCCCAACTGAAGACTGTTTAGAATGGTCTCCAGGCTTGAACCATACTAATGCTGATACAGTATTTTAGGTCTCTGTTAAGATTGATTCTGCACCCCACAATATGTGTGCTCTCTAGCCTGCATCTTTTTCTCCCACTACTACATTATACTAAGTGGCTGTTCACTTGTGACCTTTCCTCTCATTTCTAGTTAAAATAAACCAGGGGTGAGCCACATGCAGCTCTGTTACCATTAAAGTACGGCTTGCAGAACCTCTCCACGCTTCCCCACCAGACTGGGGGGATCTCGGGATCTCTGCGCCTTGCAGCAGGGTGGTGGGGTAGGGGCTTCTCCCCAGCGGGGCAGGAGGTCATCTCGGGGCTTCAATAGGAGCAGGGCTGAAGCCCTGAACCCTGTCAGGTGCCTCCTCCGCGGCTAAAGCCCTGAGCCCCAGCAGATGCATCCTGGCTCTCGAACTTCTGAAGATTGTTGTATGTGGCTCGGAGGGTCAGTAAGTTTGGCCACACCTGGAATAAATGATTGGAATCTTTAGGCAGTGATGTGAACACTTCATCCTGCTTGTCATTGTGTATGGGAAGGGGATTCAATAGTGAGAACTTCAGGATGGCCACTGCCGGTAAAAATTAAAATGGGTTTGGAAATAGGAAGGGGGGCATCTGTGAAGGAGTGTTCTAAATCCTCTGGAATAGACAGGACCAGCTTTCCCCTGGTTTATGTTTAAGAACATAAGAGCTGCCATACACACCAAAGGCCCATCTATCCCAGTATCCTGTCCCCAACAGTGGCCAGTACCAGAGCTTCAGGGGAAGTGTATAGAATAGGGCAATTATGGAATGATCCGTCCCTGTCTTCCTCTCCCAGCTTTTGGCAGTCAGACGTTAAAGGTCACCCCGAGCATGGGGATGAATCCCCAACCCTCTTGGCTAATAGCCATTGATGATCCTCCATGAACTTACCTAGTTCGTTTTTTTTTTTTTGTGTTTTGGAACCCTGCTATACTTTTGCCCATCACAACATCTCCTGGCAATGAGTTGCACCAGTTAATTGTACTCAGTGTGACAAAATACTTCCTCTTGTTTGTATTAAACCTGCTTCCTATTAATTTCATCAGGTGACCCCCTGAAATATAGTTAGGGTAAATAACACTTTTCTATTCACTTTTTCAACACCATTCATGATTTTATATACCTCTGTCGTATCCCCTCTTAGTTATCTCTTTTCTAAGATCAACAAGCCTAATCTTTTTAGCCTCTCCACATATGGAAGCTGTTCCAAATGTCTCTGTGGTGGTACTTCTCTGAAAAATGACTGTAATAATGGTTTTCCAGATCAAATTTACTCAATTTACAACTAAAATGACCGGTATTTTTTCTTTTTTAACTGCCAGACCTGCATACTCCCCTTGGGGTAGGAGTCCAGCTATGTTCTTTCTGACTAGCATGTTCTCATTGGTAACTCTGACACAATGTTAACAGATGCTGTTTGAAAGGTGGCTATACTATTATGCCAGTAGATCTTTTACTGCGTAGTTTTCACAATATTTTACTCTGGATTAGTAAGAAGAGCTCTGCAGACCTGAAATCATTGCATTAAGCCCCCTGCTCCAGCCTTATTCTAAACTTATTCAGCTAAGAAAACCACACATTAACAAACTTATCTCTTTCCCTTGTGCCTTATTGAATCTATAATGAAAGCAGATTAGAGTGCACTAGATTTTCATGAAATATCTAGGTTTTACCAGTGAAATAGTTTCAAAAATAATTGGTTAAACCTGTGTTTAATACCTATAATAATTAAACAAAAATGCTTTCTTCTAGATTTAAAGAAACGTATATCCTAAAAAATGTTCATGGTTTCTCCGTTTCTGTTTTCTGAGAGAATTAGTAGGTCACAATGAAGAAATAGCTCAGCTGAAATAGCTCTGCTCAGAGCATAAAAAAGGTTATGTTCAGCTGTGCACAATAGAGCCATCAAGAAGGGTGATGTTAAATGCTCTCTTCATAGATTTATTAAATATTATTTTGAAGTGGCCATGCCAAGGGAACTTGTCAGTGACACTAAATGTATCTGTCCTTGTTAGCTTCCCTGAAAGAACAATGGCTGATGTCTTGCAATGCATAGCCAGAAAATCTACAGATAGAAATAATGTGTTCAGATACAAAATCTGATATTCCTCTCAAAATGAATGCACCTTGGTATCTTTGGTTACTCAGCTTTTCTCCCTCCATGCATCCTTCGAGACAAGAACTGTGCAAGGTGAAATAGGTGATATACTTGGAGAAGATGATACAGTGTAAAATGTTTTCAAATGGTATCATTCTAGCTTCTTATGCTTAGTCTTGGAGTAGTACTGCTTGGAGTAAAGCAGTCTTTTACAACCTAGAGTTCACAAACTACAAACAGTTGGGACTACTACCTCAATCTAGATCTGATTTTGGATCACAAAAAAGTCTCCCTACGCAGCATGATATAGGGAGCACTGATCAAATAACCCGTATTGTAGGAAATGCTCTTGCTTCATCCCAGAAGCCAGAAAATGTGGGAGAGGGAATTCTTCCCTTTTCTCCTAGAAGTATGGAAAGTGAGGAGGGAAGGACAAAGTGGAAAGAAAAAGAAAAATTCCTTTCCTTCCTTGCAACCAAGAAAAGGGAAGAAAGAGACCACTCTTATACTTTCTGCTCAACAGGATGTGAGAGAGGGAGGGATTGGGAGGGAAGAAAGATAGTAAGTAGTTTGATGATACTGCATTATTACTCTGTGTCAGTACCTAATAACTCTCCAACCACATTCCATCATCTCAATGCAATGTCAGGACACTATATTGTAATTCTTTTGTGCATTTTAAGTTGTGAAAAATGCATTTGTAGAACCAGATTTCTCTCTTTCCATGGGTTTCTTCTGTTTGCAGTAGGTGCTCACAATAGTTGTTTTGTGCAGTCCTGGAATTAATATTGCTGCAGTAGTTCAATCTTGAGTAGTTCTAATATTTTTAATAGAATAAATACCCTAGCAGTTTCTTAGCTACACATGTTAATGATTTAACATCTCAGTTTTTTATAACCATTTACATACTTTATAGCTAAAATAATTACATCCTTAAATAAATATGGTATACTTGATTTATATAAGAGAACTGCAGTTGACATGAATTGTTGTGAAGATTACCAGGCTGATCTCTTAAATATATCAAAAGGGAATATAAAGGTACCTTGCCTCTATTTATAAGATAAGATTACTGTCAGTACTTGTTACCATAAGATAAATCAGGAGATACTTAGTGGAAGAAGAGATTGTGTGTTAAGGCTAATTACTATCTAATGTAATGTAGCTGCAGTTGTCCATAGTGAATGGAGTCTTTGCTTTCCTAATTTATCATTTACGATAGAAAGTGATCTCAGACATTAGAAGTATTGTCTTTGAAAACACATTTTTTTCAAGAGAATGTAGTGCTTGTAAAAGGAGACTAACTCTGCTATGGGTATACAGAACGAGTATAACATGGACAGCTGCACTGTGTAAGCTTTCTCACTCTGACCTGCCAGTTCTTCTCAACCCTAACTGAAAAAGAGCCCTGTAGGGGAGGTAGGGTAGTTAATGCTTCATAATTATGAAAACTGCGACCTCTTACATGGATGTCAGCAGCACATATTTTAGTTGTGCGGGCTGGGGATAAGTAGATCCTTGTCCGTTTGAAAAGCTCCATATTTGAATACCAAAGCCCCGGGGTGCTAGAACAGTTTTAGTAGTGGGGGTCCTGATGATGGAGACTGTGGAAACCATGCATTTGTTATTACTACTTCAAGCCAGGGGGTGTGGCAGCAACCCCAGCACCCTTAGTTCCAGCACCACTGCCAATGCCCTTACCCTTCAGTCCATCCCACTTCATCACTGATCTTTTTTAACACTAAGACATACAGTTGTTCTCCTAAGAAAAATTAAGTTCCATGCCTTTCTTACCCTGCACAAAATTGTAATAGCCATTATCAGCAAAGCACTGTCAATATTGTATTCTAATTTCCTTTTAAAAGAGGTTTACAGCAGGTTTTGCTGGGGGCTTAACAGTTCCATGCAAAATTTTGCTCTTTTAAGGGCCTGATCCTGCACCATTGAAGGTAGTGGGAGTTTTGCTGTTTGATTCAATGGCAGCAGGACTGGGGCCTGAGCGCGTGTTTTGGGTTTTTTACCATATTAAAATATATTAAAAAAAAATCTTTTTCCATATTTTGACTTCTAGTGAAGCTAAACGTTTCCTTGTTTTAGATGTCTTTCCCCACACATCTAGTTGTACATTGGTTTCTAGTAATAAATGTATAACTTATTGCACATATGAATATCTGACTATTTGATGGATTTCTGTAGGTATATCTATATTTTTGTGATGTCCAGATGATATAATACTTCATTCTTCTGTAATTTTTCATATGTAAATCTTTCAACTAGCTTTGAAAAGACTTGCATTCTCAGGAGATTAGATAGCTACTTCATAAAGCCAATATGGTAAAAAGACATTTTAAAATACATTTAAACTTAGATTTACTTAACTGGTTTTGGATTTACCCAATGTGCTTTTTCATCATGTATTTCGTAACATTTGAAGTCATAATCAACTTTTTAAACAGTAAAACCAAGAAAACAATGTGAAGCTGGGAAAAGCACATTGCATGTAAAATTAAAAGAAGAAAAACCAAAGGACGTGTTCTCCTTTTCCAGACTATTTAAAAAAAAAAAAAAACCAGCCCTTCCTTTTTAGCATATAAACAAATTGTCATTTATATTTAGATTTGTGTCCAGTTTCGCACCCCCCCCAATTATTGCTAAACTGATGTCCTGGTCTTTGTAAAAGCATAGTAAACTATAATAAATAAATAAACACAAAGCAAAAATGAAATCATGACACCATCATGGTGGCAGCTGATGAATATTTTGTTACATTGAAGTGTATTTATTTATTTTATTGGCTTTTCTATGGCACTTATCCCTATGGGTGTCTGAGTTTATTTTCACAACACTCCTATGACGTTGGGAAGATTTATCTATGTTTTACAGATAGTGTAGTTAGGCACAGAGTGATTGAATTACCCAAAATCACACAAGAAGGCTGTGTCTGAATTGGCACTAGAATCCAGGTTTTCAGTGTTCAAGTCCAGTGCCTTAACCAAAAGACATCTTCCTCCATTCTTGTAGTTTCAAATGCTTAACAGTGAAAAGATTCTGAAACTGAATGATGGATCTGTGTTTTGTTTTTTGTAGGGTACCCTTGAAAGTAGAACAAGCAAACAATGCACGTGATGCCTTGGCTAAAACTGTATATAGTCATCTTTTTGACCATGTGGTAAACCGAGTAAACCAGTGTTTTCCATTTGAGACCTCCTCTTTCTTCATTGGCGTTCTAGATATAGCTGGTTTTGGTAAGTGCTCTTTTGTCTGTCTGTCTGTGTGCCAGTTTCATATTTCCCAGATTATTTAATCAGTTCTACCTATTCTACTGCTATCAGAGATGCAGTGATTCATACATGATTTTGTGGTAGAAAGTTCTTGGATTTTCTTGTCCTTTATCATTCGTGTATGTGTGCACACACTGTGGGTAGGTACAATGATAATTCTGAGATACGAAGGTATAGGGGAGTTTCTCAAGATATTAACAGAATCTCTAAATCACAAATGTGAAGCTGGACAGGTTTATTTGTTTGAAACTGGACTTCAGAACACTGGAGTGTCTACACAGACACCACTTTTTCCTGTGTGTAGCTCTGTCCAGCCTGTGCAGTTTGAGTCCAAGAAAGTTCCCAGACTAGGCATGGCAGAATTTGATTTTTACAGTTTTGGTGGATAATATAGATGTTTATTTTTAAGGATTATTTACAATTTTAATTGATTTAAAGGTTCACAGATGTGGGAAGCTACTGGGGATGAGGGGTCATACAATAATTAATGACAGTAGAGGTTGAGAGTCAAAAAGTTAGTTTTATAACCATTAAAACAAATTGGCTACATCACATGTCAAAATATACAGAGTAAATGTCCTTAAATCATGTTCTTAAGTAGCATTTTTCTTAATTTGTCTACATGTAAATTTTGATTATCATCTATGGAAGTATTTTTTCATCAATTTAATTGACATTTACCAACCTTTACTGATAAAAATCTGATCCTTTCCATGACCCTCTGTGGTTTTAACAGCAGCACTGACTACTCACTATTCTGAGGGGAGCCTTCCTCTTTAGAGGTGTCAGTATAAAGCTGTACTGAGCTGCCCAAGCCTTCCTCAAGATAAAGCCTTGAGTGGGGTCTGGTTCTGGACAACCAATGAGATCAGGAACAGCACTGAATGTGCTTATAGTTTCTCATACAATCTTAGGGGGAGTGGAGTATATTGACTGATATGCAGATAAGGAAGAGACGGGGGCCTGGTCTATAGTACACACTTAGATCGACATAAGGCAGCTTACATCAAACTAATTATGTCCGTGTACACACTACAGCCTTGTCCCACCGATGTAAGTGCGCTAGTGCACCAACATAATAACTCCACCTCCACGAGAGGTGTAGCGCTTACGTTGGTGTAGTTAGGGCTGTGCAGTGTCTATGTGGACACTGCGTTACTTACATTAGCTGCCAGGCTTTCTTGTCAATTTCACGGCTCCATCGGCCCCGGCTCCCCACTCCCAGATGAGCTGCTGCCTAGAGACTCCCCACTCAGGGAGGTGAGAAGCCTGGGCGGCTGCAGGGAGCTGAGAGCCTAGGCCGCAGCAGATCTCTCCGTGGGGAGCTGCGAGCCTTGGCTCTCAGCCCCCCCTCACTGCCCCTCTTCAGTCGGTGGAAGCACTCCTGGTGAGGATGCACACCACCAACAGAAGGAGGGTAACGTGGATATCAGCCACCATAGTGATGGCCAGGGGAGCCACAGGTGGTATGGCTCTTGTAAGGGCTGTGCTGTGAAGTAGCTTCAGGGTGGCAGGTGGTAGTGTGGAGATAAGGGCCTTGATCCACTGCATTCTTGCTGTGTATAATAATAGTAATAACTTGTAATGGAGAGTGTGAGATCAGCTATAACTGCAAGTTATTGGTTCCAGAAACATGAACTTTCACGTCCTTTTTATTTCTGGTTTATATCCAACTTATTACAGGTACCATGAGACTCAGTAAAACCACTTCATTCGATATGCTTGTCATGGATCTGAACAAAAGATTTGATGTTAAAATGTTAACTCTACTAACCTTCGCCCCCCCAACATTATATAACTAAATTTTCAGAATACTAATTTATCATAATTCAAAGCAGTTTAACGTTTTGTTTTTCAGAATATTTTGAACACAACAGTTTTGAACAGTTTTGTATTAACTACTGTAATGAAAAGCTGCAGCAATTCTTCAATGAAAGGATTCTGAAAGAGGTAATTTATATCCCACTTCATGTCTGAGTAACCCACTGACTTTTCTGAAAAGAAAATTAAGATAAGGGTATGTGAAATAGCAATGCTTTCCATAAATTTTGTTCATTTTCCTTTTAATTACAATTAAAGAACTTTGTGTGTCTGTTATAGTGTAGAGTCAGGTGTATACTTGAGAAGGGTAGTTTGCTCTTGGTTGAAGCATTTTTCATTTGTTGAATATGTCAAATTATTTCCCAGTTTGAGTTGGTTGGTGCTTTGTTCATCTTTGGGAACATGCATTAATGCACCTCACATCTTCCTGTACTAAGCAATTATTATTATTAATTGTAGTGTGTTAGCATCTAGAGGCCAGAGTAGACATACAATGGAGACAGTCCTAGATCTGAAGAGTTTACAATCTGAGTATGAGATTTTAGGCAACAGATGGGGATGGGAAACACCAGGAAACAATGACATATTAGTCAGTTTGATAAACTGGTCACAGCACACGAAATGCCTAACCGTTGTTTAGTGTAGGCTTTGTGGCAGAGAAGATTTCTAAGGAGGGATCTGAAAGAGGACTACAAGGTGAAATCTAAAATGCACCATTTTTGTGGCTTTCCTTGTCTTCCCCATGCAGAAGAGGGGGGAGAGAGTTCAGAGGCCCTTATTAAACTGCATGTGCCCCATGACTGCACAAGTTTTTTGGCACTACTCCAACTGTCCTGCTTAGCTTTCAGAATTCAGTAAGCTCTCAATTAAGAAATACTTTCTCCTCAAATAGTACTATCAAATGTGACCCATTCTCAACAGGTAGTGCTCATGAAATCAGTATGTTTGAATCTGATCTAGGACTTCAAAGTAGTGTGGGGGGGAAACTAAAATAACACTTGTGTTCAGGTTGCACTTCTGCTGCATATTGAAAAGACTTTGTTGAAAACCAGTATGATTGGATAAACTGCTGGTTAAACTCTGAAAAGGACCATTGGTACTTTGGCTGGGGCAGTCTGAGAAGGGCAAGACTCAGAAACAGCTCCTTATCTTGTGTCTGCCTGTAATATTGAAGAGTTAGATAGGAAAGGGATAAGAGCATAAGAGGTCAAAACAGTTTATCATATTCCTAAAGAACAAGAGTAATGGATTGGGCAGATTGAAGATGCTCCCCTGAACACTGGATTAAGTGACCCAGGCTTTTTAGAAGCTCAGGGCAAGAAAGAAGCTGGCTGCTTTGGCACAGTTTCATCCCCAGGAACTAATTAACTTTAATTTTAGGACTGTGTATTTAGGACTTGTGACCTGAGAACATTTGCTATGTAAGTCACTGAAAGAGACTATCAAACTCCACCATGCAATCAGAAAAGTAACTTTGTAATCATGGTTTAAGAACTTCTGGATGAACTCCCAGATAGAGCTGTTTTAAGTAAAACTGCATCGGTGACTAAATTGTTGGAAAATCAGGTTTTCATCAGACTTGTGAGAGAGATGATTTTTCTTGTCTGAGTACCTTTTTTCCTCAGCATGGCAGGAACATTAAGAAAATGCTTCAAATTCCAAGGCCAAAAACCTTTTTAAAGTCTTGTGGTCACTATGATGACATTTAATCACCTACAAACATCCTGAGCTTTTGGAGTTCTTGGATTTTCTGTTGGATAGATGTTGTCCTGATAGTCTGAGACTGTATGGAGGTAGCAGGGCTTGGAGCTAATATTCTCATCAGTCTTACTAGCTGTAATTAAATTTAATGTACTTCCTTTATAAGACTCACTAAATTATTGATAGCAGTAAGCACTTTTTTTTTTTTTTTTTTTTTTATTTAAAGGAACTAACAGTAACTAAAACTCTTTTGGGTTCAATCTAGTGGTAGCCCTTTTTTTCTAGGGGATTGAAGTTAGAAGGGACATACAAGCTTTACTTTTGAAGGCGAGATAAGACTTTGTCATCTCTGTGAGATAGTACTTTCAGAGAACAATTACAAATAACAAATGTTTATTACTTTATAAAGCATACTAGAAAACTAGGTAAAAGGTCAGATTATACTGAGTAGCATTTTTCTGAGCAAATAGTTATTATACTGCAATTATCTTGAAGATATACTAAAGCAAAGCAGACCCTTTTATCTTTTTAAATATTAAACATGGTTTATAGTGCTTTTCTTCAAAGTTTGGATACTATTTGAGCTGCTTCACATGTCACATGTGCTGGGTTAAAGCTTATCATGGCAAGGGTCAGCGCAACCCATTAGGCGACCTAGGCGGTCGCCTAGGGCGCTGCGATTTCGGGGGCGGCGACCGCGGCGGTATTTCCGCGGCGGGACCTTCCGCCGCCTCTGGGGGGGGGGCGGCATTTCAGAAAAGCTGGCGGTGCTCCTGATCGTGGCCAAAGGAAAGATTATATATTTAGGAATATGCCTAGCAGTCTATTGCAGACACAAATTTGCTAAGACAGGCCAATAATAAGGAAATAAAAAAAGCTATTCTCTGCCTATTCGTGTGAGTGCTTGGAAGAATATTTAATTAAAATGACAATACAGCGAAAAACAGTAATTGATGCATACTCAGAGCTTGCAAGCTTTGTACAGATGAAAGTGGCATTTGAGTATATAATCAAATAATTTTAATCGTTTGAACGCTTTAGATTGGGTTTCATTTAGTGACTTATAATGTGAGATGGCTTTAGAGTTTGTTACTACATTTAAATGAAATATAACATTGTGGAGAGAGGATGATTTCTCCAAAATGTATCTAAAGTTTAATTAAGTTTCTCTTACAAGCTCTATCTGAATGCCTCCCTCCAATTTTGTCAGAAGTAAATCAATCTGGCTGAATGTCCTTGTGGACTGGTGACATATAGGAATAGTGTTTTGCCACAAGTTTGCGGAGTTATAGGACAAGATATTTGCAAGATCAGAAGTTTGAAAACATGAGTTCATATCCCCTGAAAAGTACCTTAACTCTTTTTTCTATTTCATATTTTTAGAACAGCTTGGCATAGAAATTCTAAACTTAATTTATTCTATTTATTCTTCTTGATGCCTTCAACAAGGTGAATTTTGTGGTTACCTGAAAGGTTTACTATGGACCTGTGGGGATTCCTGAGTACCTCAAACTCTAGAGCCTATGTGTGGAGTTTTAGATGTCTGGAGCCACTGCCTTTGAATTTTAATTTGCTTGCATACATACTGGCTGAAAATTTTGAATTAAAGATATAAACGTCCATAGGTAAGCCAGTAGGCATTCTATGGAGCTAATTGTATCTTGGCACTAGCTACTTTCTTGATGGATAGTTTATTCTCAGAGTGTCTTGCATCTTTTAAGGGGTATGCTCCTTCTAATTCTATGAAAGAGATCCTAGTATTTCCTTCTTCACATCTGCATTTACAGAGCTAGTTCAGTGGCTATAGGAAGGCTCATTTCTTATATCAGGAGCACACATTGGCTTTAGAGTCAGAGCAAATGTATTCATTACCATCTCCTAAGCTTCTAGGTCATTCACAAGTCTGTCTTTTTTCCAACTTGTCCATTCCCTTTTCTTATCACATGGCCCCCACCTTCTGTTCTGCTAAAGATGTGGGCTGGGTGGTATGTGGGCTTAGATTCCCTTTGCTTAGGGCAACTGTTCCTCAGGTGTTCAGTGGAGTTTCATATGTAACACCTTCTTAGACCATCCTCTAGGGTCTGTAAATGTGATTACCATGATGGGTCGGCTCTGGGGAGTTTCTGGGCTCCAACCACCCTACATTTTTCTAGGGTGAAATGGAGTGTCCCATTTACACCAGTCTTTTTGCCCTTCTCTTTGTGGTATGCACCCACTGGATGCTCTGTCTTGTTCATAGGAAACAGCTAGGTCCTGTACAGCTGCTTCCTGTACAAAACCTAAACTTTTATCCCAAATGGCTTCTCTGATCTCAGAGCAAATGCTCAGTAAATGCCCTTATGCACAGGGGTCAAATAACTTGTCATAATCAGCCCCTTCCCCCTTTGCTCATCAAATCACACATTTTACACACACATTCTCTGTGATTCATCACCTTTTTGGAGGTTTCTAAATCTCACCCTGTACACGTCAGGTGTAATTTGAAACCTTTGCAACACAGCCTTTTAAAATTCATCATACTTCAAACTCTGTTCAGTTTCCACTTCATTAAACACATTTAATGCTTCACCCGAGAGCTTTGCAATCACTGTGGGCACTTTCTGGGCTTCTGGAATTTTATGTAATTTGCACAGTCTTTCAAAAGTACAGAAGTATTCTTCAATAGAATCTGATCCTTTGTATTCGGGGGATAATTTATCTCAGCTGGGTGTTCCTTGTGAAGAGGGAACACTTGGGATCTGTCTATGCTTTTCCTACCAGCTCAGGTTACACTGTCTTTCCTACCCTTTTTTTGGGCTGCCCATTTTTTCAGTTCCATGTTTCTCTAATGGCAGCTGTCTCCTCTTCCAGGGTTTTCTGGTATGCTTCTCCTTGCTGTTGTCTTTCTGCCTCCCACTGGCTCTCATTTCAGCTTCCCACTTCTGGTATTCATACACTGCTGTCACACCTGCTTATTCTTTATCATTCTGTTCAGCCTTCAATCTGGCTATTTCTAGTTTCATAGATGTTTCACTGTTGCTCATTTTTATTCTTTCTTTCGTTGCCTGAAATAAACAGAAAACAACAAACTGTAACTGTTTTTGACTTGTTCCCAGCCTTCTCACATAAAATCTACTTTATCAGTGCTTGAAATGTGAACATCAGTCAACCAGTCGGCAGTGTGTAAATCCTGTCCAGACCACACCACTGTGATGTTCTGATCAGGACTCCCAGAACTGTAAGCCACTGTCTTACCCCTCTGCCTCAGCAAGTGAGAGCTTTTCTGCTGCTGCTAAACTGTGTGTCAGCTCCCTGCCAGTCCAGCCTGTCTGCCTTGCCAGCAAACTCCTCGAGAACCTGCCAGTTTAAACTGTCTTGTAGGTAACAAGCAATTCACCTCAATTCCTGAGTTCCCCAGAGATGTCTCCTGGTGTATTCACTGGACACCCACAGAAATTATGAAATTCAATGCTTCCAAAGAGACAGAGCCCACATCAGCCTGTTAGCTTAGCTGAAGATTCACATTTTACTTCAATATAACAGCACTGAGATGGTTTATAGTAAAACTAAGAATATGTTTATTTACAAAGAACAGAGATTTAAATGATAAGCAAGGGAAAAAGAGACAGCTATGGTTGCAAACAAAACACACTTTTTAGTGTCTAAAATGTAATTTTAGCAGTTACAAACTATTACAAGTTAGTTTCCTCACGTACATCAAGTTACCAGCATCTCTGGTCCTCCTGGCCAAGGGATCCAATTTTCACAGGGTCAGAGAGTGCTGTTCCCTGTGTTCCCTAAATGATGATTAACTAAAATGTCTTTCCATACCTTCTATTACCAAAAATCCATAGTCTCTGTCTCAAGAGCCAGGAAAGCTTCCTGGGATGCAGATTCCCTCCTCCCCTCCGCCCCCCCCCCTGTGCTTACTAAATTGTCTCCTTTGCCACTCATTAGCTTGATGGCTTTGTTTACCTTTTATGTAAATATACTTTCCTTGTACTCTGTAATCAAGCCAGCCAGACATGCCAATCTACATTCCTTTATCAGGCTTGGTGTATGCACTGCCTTCCAAACACAGTTGAAGAACATATATTTCCAGCACACACACATATAACTCTTTTTATACAGCCTGTACACAATGCTTTTTGGGAACAATGTGTCACTAGTCTGTTTCCATATGATACCTTACATGACACCTTTTTATATGCCTCTTATGACAACTGTGTGTTGTGGGTACTGAGTGTGTCAAGCCTGATATGAGTTGCATTATGGTGGGCTCTCTGCCATTTGGCATTGAGGGGCACCCAGGGCCACAACTTATTGGTTAACTTTTCATGTAATAATCTCTGTGTCTTCTACCTTGATGTCCATTTTTCATGGAAAAAGAGTAGATCCACAATCCTGTTTGGGCCCTGTGTAATATAAATGGTGGTAAAAGCACAGCTGGGAAATGTTTAATGCTCCCAATTGAATTTCAAATAGAAAAATTAAACCTAAGCAGTTTATTGTCCAAGGTGTCCTGCAGTTATGTCTGGGTAGCATTAAAAATCAATTTGAGTTTGGAAAAAAGTATATTTTTTTAAAAGGGGAGGGAGAACAGATAGGGAGGAAGTTGGAAAGGAGGAAGAATGATGGAGTCTTAATGTATTTTATATAATTTTAGAACTTAGAAATTGGGGAGGGAACTCCAAAAATTTATAAGGTTCATTTAAAAATGTTTTAAATGTTCCCTTTTTTAAAAACAAACAAAACCTCTTCATTTTATAATCTCCATGCGACATCTACTACCACACTTTGGGTGTCTGAAGGCAGAAAGGAGCTATGTATCTGAGATGTAGCTTAATGGGCAAAAATATCTTAATGTTTTCTGAAATATATTTCTGAAACTTTAAGAATTTAAAAATGTTTTGTGCGGTGCTAGTTGCACTTGGTTCTTAGAACCATTTCACATGTCATTAAGAATCACAGCACAGGAGAAACTTTTATGATCATCAGAATGCTCAAATTGGCACTTAAAATATGCTGTAATATAAAATACCCTATGTTGAAGGTGTGAAAGAGAAAAGATCATAATTTTCTCATCAGGTTTATTGTGACATTCTAAACTGGGATTCAGAGCTTTTTAGAATATTTTTGTATTCCTTTTAGGAAGTCATTATTTTTAATCAAGAATATATTGTTTAGACTTTTTAAAATTCTTGCATATATGTTGGAAAGTAATCGAGTAACCCTGCTAAGTAACTAGAAATAAATTAAATTTAAAGATCAGTTTTTCCTGTTAATTTTTCATATTAATTATTTTTCACAAAGTGTTGAACTCCAAATGATTCTAACACTGGAAAGTAATATTCTCAAGCCAAATATTGACATCTCACTGAAGTGCTTTATCCTAATTTATCTAATATACATATTGTATTGTTAGTGTTAAGGAAATGGAATTGGAACTATATTAAGCTGTATCCAAGCACATTAAAATCTTCTGTTTGTTTATTCATTGTCATTAGAGAAGTTAAAATTGTCTCTTTTGATGCATGGGAAAAACTGTGGCAAACGGTATTTTCCCCTAAATATTTTTATTTTTTCTATTTTAGGAACAAGAACTTTACCAGAAAGAAGATCTAGGAGTCAATGAAGTGCACTATGTAGATAATCAGGATTGTATAGGTATGTACTTGAAAAACGTGTATACTGTGTCATTAAAGTGTTATGGTCCTGGAGCACAGTGGCTTTCAATAGAATAGACAAAATATGTTAAGTAGTGTAGTAATTTTGTTGTATCAGTGACCATCCCAGCATTGTGGATCCTGCTCTGGGGTTTTAGTCCCTGATGCTGCAACTG